GCCCCTCTTTCTTTCTTTTCTTTCCTTCTTTCTTTCTTTCTTTCTTTCTTTCTTTCTTTCTTTCTTTCTTTCTTTCTTTCTTTCTTTCTTTCTTTCTTTCTTTCTTTCAACTTAATTTATTTGGGACACCTGGGTGGCTCAGTTGGTTAAGCAACAGCCTTCGGCTCAGGTCATGATCCCAGGGTCCTGGGATCGAGCCCCGCATTGGGCTCCTTGCTCAGCGGGAAGCCTGCTTCTCCCTCTGCCTGCCGCTCCCCCTGCTTGTGATCTCTCTCTGTCAAATAAATAAAATTTTTGCTGCTTCTGCTGCTTGTGCTCTCTCTCTTTCTGTCAAATAAATAAATAAAATCTTTTTAAAAAAGATTTTAATTTAGTTTTACTTTTTAAAGATTTATAAGCTACTCACTACATCAGGGGTCTGTAAACTATAGCCCATGGGCCAATCCACTTCTCCCCCTCCCCCTCATCTTTTTTTTTTTTTTGCTAAATAAAGTTTTATTGGATTATAACCATGTTTGCTCATTCATGTATTGGCTATGGCTGCTTTCGCACTACAATGGCATCATTGATAGTTGTGACAGATACAATTTCACCTACAAATTCAAAAATATTTACTGTCTGGCCCTTTACAAATGAGTTGGCCACATCATGCTTTTTCTGGAACTTCCAGAGACACTTTTTCTAATTCTAAGACTCAGCTATTCTAAGACTTTATTTTTTTTGAAGATTCTTATTTATTATTTATTTGAGAGAGTGAGAGAGTACAAGCAGGGGGAGCTGCAGAGGGAGACGGACAAGCAGGCTCCTCGCTGAGCAGGGTTCCCCGCTGAGCAGGGAGCCTGACTTGGGGCTCCATCCCAGGACCCTGGGATCATGACCTGAGCCGAAGGCAGAGGCTTAACTGACTGAGCCACCCAGGCATCCCTATTCTAAGACTTTATTTTTTTAAAAAAGATTTTTATTTATTTATTTGACAGAGAGAGAGACAGCGAGAGAGGGAACACAAGCAGGTGGAATGGGAGGAGAAGCAGGCTTCCCACTGAGCAGGGAGCCTGATGCGGGGCTTGATCCCAGGACCCCAGGACCATGACCTGAGCTGAAGGCAGACGCTTGACTGAGCCACCCAGGTGCCCCTATTTTAAGACTTCAAGTAGAGAAAGGATTCTCCCTGATTCTTGGTGAGATAGCACAAGCTAGGTCTTGAAAATCTACATTCTTTTACACTAACAAGAAGTTAGAGAATCTCTAGTGTGACTTAACTAGAGGGGATTTCCTGGGAGGAAGAGGGAAGATACAGTTTAAAAGATCCTTGGGTCTTTTTTGGGGGGAGGAGGGGAAGAGGGTCCATTTTTAAAATTGGATTTTCCAATTCAGAATGCTGCAGCTTTTGTGAATGAATGAATATTGGTATGTACAAGGAAAAAAAAGTTCTGGAAGGATAGTGATATCTGGAGGGTAGTTAACGCTGGTGGGAGGAGGAGAGATATTTAACTCTGTATTTCTTGTGTATGATTTGTGTGTATAGTACAACTGTGTGCTTTTTGCAATTAAAAAATATACAAACACACACAGAGAGGGAGGTGGCAGAGAGACTCAAGAGACTTCTTCCACAGTGGAGTTTAAGAAAAGAATCTTTCTAGGATGATGGATGTATCTGTGTTCTTAGTGGTATGGTTGACTTAATCACCTCACTTGCCGCTGGCATCCATCCTATGATAGATGGGCTGCCCCTAACTCCTCAGGCTCTATATTCCTTCACAGGCAGAGAGCTGTTAGAAACATTCTGAAGGGAGTGAGGACTACAGATTTCTGCAGAAGCAAATGAATTGCACAGTTGCGTTGGAAATAGAATTGCAGCTGTTTTGCCATTTCTCAGGAAGCTAGCATGTAAGTAAGGCTGGCATGAAGACCAAATTGTGAATGTCAGAAACGAATCATGGAATATTTCGGATTTTTCGAGAATGGCTGCAAGATATAGAGATGGCCAAGCTTGTTCCTGTTTAAAAGAAATGGGTAATACATGAGCACTGCAAAACATTCAAACAATACAGATGTGTATAAAATAAAAAGTGAGAGTCCTCCCTTCAAGTCGCTCTTACCAGAAGTAACAACTGAATATAATTTGAAATTGGGACATCTATAAAGATCTTTTATAATTAGTCTTCATGCTTAGATCTTTAACTCAACCATATTTTATTTTTGTGAAACATGTAAATAGGGCTACCGTCAAGTCTATTTTTCTGTAATCTGGCTTTCAAGGGAGTTTCTGGAGATACTTTACCGAGCAAAGGGAAACCGCCATTTAGAACGTGCACGCCTTCTTGGCACCAACACGTGCTCGGCACTTCATATGTAGTGTGTGATTTTACCCCCACGCGAGTTTTAAACTCAATTTATAAGTAAAGAAACTGGGCGTCACCTAAGGAATGTAGCTTGTAGACCAGACTTGCAAGAGACCCGACAGGCCAAAAGGCGGGCGAAAGGCTCAAGACGCCCAAAGCCTCGCCCACTTTCCAACCTCTCGCGACAACTGTGCGTCATCCGAAAGCGCCGGTGGCCCGGACGGTCGCGCGGCCCGTGTCGCGCGAAATCTTCGCTCGGCGGTGCTGTCTCACCGGTGAGGTCGTGAAGCCGGCGAGTCCCACACTCTGTCCTCTCGGCCTCCCGCCACTATGGAGTACCTCATCGGCATCCAGGGCCCCGATTATGTCCTTGTCGCCTCCGACCAGGTGGCCGCTAGCAGTATTGTCCAGATGAAGGACGGTGAGAGGAAGCAGGGGAGGCCCGGCCGGGCCTGGGTGTAAGGGCAGTCGGACGGAGTTCGGGATGGGGGCGGGGGGTTGGGTGGGAACCGGGGAGGTCCGGGCGGTGGAATCCCGCGTGTCCTGCTCTGCACTTGCTTATTTTTCGGAACGAGGAGACGGGCAGACTAGCTTAGGGCCTTGGCATGCGCTCCTCCTAGGGCTCCGAGGTCAGGGCTCTACTCTGGCCTTCGCTAAATGCTTCCTAGGCGCGAGTTGCCTGTGGAAATTCAGTTTTTAAGTGTTTAAGCGCCTGCCCGGCACCAAGCTCCCTAGATCCCCGAATCTTTGATTAAGTTTTCCTGTTGTTGTCGCTACTAATGAGGTAAGTTTGCTGGCGGTGTAGGATGGGGTCCTGGGGACACTGAGACTGTGGGACTAGAAACTGGGCCTTTCGCTTCCGCTGCCTGTACCTTCCCTTTTCTCAGCTCTGATCCTCCTTTTCCAGTTTTCCGGGACACTGGTTGCCAAGTTTTCCTTGTATTTAAGTAGTTAGTGGAGTTTGCTAATTGGAGCCTTAGGCCTTATTTGCTTTGTGACTTTGCACAAGTTATTTCACAGTGGCCAGATTTGCTCATCTGTTAAGTCAGGTTACTAATACCAACCTCACAAGCTTATTGGGAGGATGGAGTGAAAAAGTTTGGTGCAAATGCTTAGTACAGTGACAAATAGGCAATAGTAATAATACTAAGGACTTATGTAACAGGTGCTGTTTTAAGCGATTTACATTATTTCATTTAACCTTTTAAGATAGGCACTATCAAGAGATTTTGCTTGTTGATCTGTGGAATCTAAGACTGTGTTTTCATGATTGATCATAGACATGCTACTGTTGAAAAAGTATTATGCTTTGGCTCAGATGGCTTCATGTTTATTGGACAGATAGGTTTTGAGCACCTGTGTTGCCCATTACAGTGCTAGGTTCTGAAGGGATGCAAGAAGAAGATGTGGCTTGTATCTTAAGAGAAGTTACAGTTTAATGTAGACTCAGATGTGGGTACAAATAATTATAGTACAAGTTAGAAAATTATGCCACATATAAAAAAAAGCTGCTCAGGTAATGCAGAGGAAGAAGAGATTATTTTTGGGTAATTCAGAGGAAGAAGAGATTCTTTCTGGTTGTAGAGATTAGGGAAAGCTTTGAAGGCAGGTTATAGTTCATCTTTGGTTTAAGGAAAGAAAAATTATTAATTTTAAAAAAATTTAATAATTTTCTGAAATATGTGTCCATCACTGCTTTTATAAGCGATAGGCATCTGATTGTCAGGCTGACATCACTTAGGGAGTTGGAAAAAACTCTGAGGGACTTTGCTTGAGTTCTGTTCTTTCTTTCTTTCCTTTTTTTTTTAAGATTTTATTTATTTATTTGAGATAGAGCGAGGGAGAGAGCAGGAGTAGGGGGGAGCAGAGGGAGAGGGAGAAGCAGGCTCCCCGCTGAGCGGGGAGCCCAGTGTGAGGCTTAATCCCAGGACCCTGGGATCATGACCTGAGCCGAAGGCAGCCACTTAACTGACTGAGCCACCCAGGTGCCCCTAGAAGTTTTATTTGTAAATCATGCTTTCCAAAGGAGTCAGTTTGTTTTGAGGGTAAATCTGTCCATTATTTTGAATACTAAGACCTTTGATATACAGGTGATTTTAGCATGAAGTCTGGGTAGAACAATAACCAAGTCAATACCTTTACAGGTACTCTGTATAATCCACACAGGGGTGTAAGACATTGAGAAAACAAGGAAATAAGTACTACAAGATGATTTTGTATGATAAAAAAAGTATCACTGTCAGTATTAGTTTTTAAATTAATGATGTCAGGAGTAAAGCCTAAGGGTATTCAGAGAAAAGAAAGATCACTGTGGTATGGAAAGAAGATGAATTTGAGTTAGTTCTTGAAAAATGGTTGGAAATAATTGCACTCAACTTTAATTTTCCGTATAGTCTTTTCTGGTATAAAATGTTTTATGATAGGAGCTTTGGAATTCTATGAGGACTTTTTCCTACCTTTCATTTCATGAAGGAACTTAGTAGGATAAGCAAGAATGTTGAAAATGAGTAACCTTTTGGGATTTATTTCTCCAAGTATAAAGTAAGAATGATAATTCCAATCAGTTTTTTTGGTTTGTCACTTTGTAAGATATTTTGATATAGAGAAGTTTGCTTATGAAAGTGCCCCAAGTCTTTGGTTTGATTGTATGCAGCATTTCATGTCTCTTGTCTCCTGGTCTGTATAGAATTGCTTTTAAATTACTCAGAGCAGGGCACCTGGGTGGCTCAGTCAGTTAAGCATCTGCCTTCAGCTCAGGTCATGATCCTAGGGTCCTGGGATCGGGTCCCATGTCAGGCTCCTTGCTCAGCAGGGTGTCTGCTTCTTCCTCCCTCTGCCCCTCCCCCAGTTTGTGCTCTTTCTCTCTTGCTCTCTCTCAACTGAATAAAAATAAAGTCTTTAAAAAAAAATTACTCAGAGCACTTAAACCCACACAGAATGCTTTTTTTCCTGAATTCATATAGCATGTGTAATCTGAACTACATTGACTAATACTGAGTATAATGGTATTGTTCATATATAGTTTTTCCTATGTATGAGTTAGATAGGGGTAAGTGATAGTATAACCATTTTACACACTTGAAAATTAGGGCCCAAGTTCAGAGTGCTGAGCCCAGATTATAACAAAGGTCTATTGGGGCACCTGGCTGGCTTCAGTCAGTGGAGCATGCAACTCTTGATCTCAGGGTTGTGAGTTCAAGCCTCACCTTGGTTGCAGAGCCTACTTTAAAAAAATAAAAATAACCAAGGTCTTTTGGGTTCTAGTACAGTTGGCCTTTCATAGTATTGTACTGATGTTCATTTTGTTGTCCGTTTGCTTCATCTATGTGGATCTTCTAAGTTCTTTGTCAAGGATAAGAAATTCCCTAGTGCTGGGGCGCCTGGGTGGCTCAGTCCTTAAGCCTCTGCCTTCGGCTCAGGTCATGATCCCGGGGTCCTGGAATCGAGCCCCACGTCAGGCTCCTTGCTCAGCGGGGAGCCTGCTTCTCCCTCTGCAGGCAGCTCCCCCTGCTTGTGCTCTCTCTCTCTGACAAATAAATAAAATCTTTTTTAAAAAGTGTGTACATCGATTTTTAGAGATAATACTATTGCACACTTAATAGACTATAGTATAGTGTAAACATAACTTTTATATGCACTAGGAAACCAGACAATTCATTTGACTTGCTTTATTGTGATTTTCGCTTCATTGCAGTGGTCTAGAACTGAACCCTCAATATCTCTGCTGTATGCTTGCATAACCACAATCAAGATAATTACCATATCCATAACCCTCTAAAATTTTCTCATGCCCATTGCACACCTTCATCCTATCCCTCCCTAGCCTCTCCATCTCCAGGCAACCACATACAGCTTTTCTGTCACTATCAATTAGTGTTTCTAGAATTTTATATAAATGAAATCATAGTGTGTACTCTTTTTGTCTGTTTTTTTTCCCCACTCAGCATAAATCTTTTGAAGTTTTTCTATGTTGTTGTGTGCATCAACAGTTCATTTTTTTTCCTGAGTAGTATTCTACTGTATGGATAGACAACATGTTACTCATTGATCTGTTAATGAACATGACTCCCTCCAGCTTTTCCAGTTTTGGGCTATTACAAATAAACCTGTTATGAGCATTCATGTACAAGTCTTTGTGTGTCTTTAAATTTAAAGTGGGTGGGGTGCCTGGCTGGCTCAGTTGGTAGAGCATGTGACTCTTAATCTTTGGGTTGTAAGTTTAAGCCCCACACTGGGTGTAGAGATTACTTGAAAATAAAATCTTTAAAAAAATTTTAAGTGGGTATTTGTAGACAGCATATAGTTGGGTCTTACTTTAATCTGACAATTCTGGCTTTCATTTGGAGTTTTTGGATCATTATATTTACGTGATAATTATATCATTAGATTTAAATCTACCATCTTGCTATTTGTTTTCTGTTTATCCCATATGCTTTTTGTTCCTTTTCTCTTTTTTTTTTAAAGATTTATTTATTTATTTATTTGACAGAGAGAGAGACAGCGAGAGAAGGAACACAAGCAGGGAGAGTGGGAGAGGGAGAAGCAGGCCTCCTGCTGAGCAGGGAACCCGATACAGGGCTCGATCCCAAGACCAGTGGGATCATGACCTGAGCGGAAGGCAGATGCTTAACGACTGAGCCACCCATACGTCCTGTTTTTGTTCCTTTTTTCTTATTCTGTCTCCTTTTTTGATTGACTATTTTATTCCATTTTATGTCTTTTGTTGACTTATTAACTATAACGCTGTGTTATTTTAGTGTTTGTTTGGGGTTTATTGCATACATCTTTTACTTATCATTGTCTAACTTCAAGCAATATACTACCTTGTGTGTAATATAAGAACCTTAGGGCAATACATTCCAATGTCTTCTCTCCTGGCTTTTGTGCTTTTTTCTTCTTCTTTTTTTGTTTTTTTTGGTTTTTTTCCCTACATTTTACCTCCAAATATGCCACAAACCCCATAATATATTGTTATATTTTTCCTTTAAATAGTGAATTATTTATCTTTATTTTATTATTTTTTAGAGAGGGAGGGGGGGTAGGGGCAGAGGGAGAGAGAAAATCCCAAGCAGACTCCACGTCCAGCACTGAGACCGATGAGACCGCTCAATCTCACGACCCTGAGATCATGACCTGAGCTGAAATCAAGAGTCAGACGCTTAACTAACTGAGCCACCCAGGTGTCCCAACAGATGATTCTTTCTTCCTTCCTTCCTTTTTCTTTCCTTCCTTCCTTTCTTTTTTCTTTCTTTCTTTCTTTCTTTTTAAATATTTTATTTATTTGACAGAGAGAGACACAGCGAGAGAGGGAACACAAGCAGGGGGAGTGGGAGAGGGAGAAGCAGGC